CACAGTTGATGTTGAAATTTTGATGCTTTTTTTATGAACACTCAATAAATGTGAAAAATTCAATACTTTTTTTGGTATTTTTTTTTCTTGTTAAGTGCCCACTGTTTAACATAGTAAAACTAATAAAAATAAATGATTCAATAGAAATATTCTAAATAATAAACTTGAGTATTATACACCCAAGTTTCTGCACTTTATGACAAAATTTACATTATGCCCCTCTTAAGGAGTCTTGTTGAAATGGTTTAAAGGGAGAACGGGAGGGAGGAGTTCATGCTGATTTTCCTTGGAAGAGCTTCATTCTGGCTGCTTTTCTTTGAGAGGCTTTGGCTGTTCTCCTGGGCTGAGCTCTGGTCTTTGCCTTTGACAAGGATGGCTGCTATTCTCTTTGGAGGAGCTACGGTCTTCGCCTTTATCTTGGGCATCATCTCCTGGCTTTCAGTGCATATTCTTCAACTTCTAGCCTCAGCCCTTTGGCCTGCCTCCCAACACAGATCTCTAGCCTCCAGCACCAACCCTTGGGCTTTCAGTGCAGACCCTTCAGTCTTCCCATTGAAGAGTCCTTGGCCTCCTGCTACAGATCTGCACAGGACATTGTTGTGGGCTCCAAGCCTTTGGCTATATTCTTCAGAACTCTAGGGCATACCCAGGTCTCTTGCACTCTTCCACATTTGACTCTGTGGGCAGATTATTGTCAGCTAATCTTATAAATATCTGTGTCCTGTATTAATCTGTTCTCTTGTAAATACTGACTACATCAATGTGTTAAAGATACTTGGTACATACTTCAAACGTTATGCAAAATATTAAAATGGATCACAGACAAGTGTAAAACTCTAAAACTTCTAAAAGAAAATACAGGAGAAAAAGTTTTGACCACAGATTGGCAGAATTTTTAGATATGACACCAAAAGTGCAGTCCAATGATAGATGAGACTTTATTAAAATTTTTAAATTTTGGATCTATGAAAGTCACTGTTAAGAGTATAAACAGATAAGCCATCAAAAGGAGAAAATATTTGCAATTTACATATCTGGTAAAGAAAATATATAAAGAAGTTGCACAATTTAACAGTAAAAAAAAAAAAACAATTTTTAAAAAGAACATAGATCTTCAGATAGAAATAAGCAGACAAAAAGATGTTCAGAGCCAGGGATTTAACTCATTGGTTCTGCTGCCTGCCTCACAAGCACAAGCTCCAGAGTTTGATCCCCGGTACCAAAAGAAAAGAAGAAAGAAAGAATGAGAGAGAGAGAGAAAGAGAGAGAGAGAGAGAGAGAGAGAGAGAGATGTTCAACATCATTAAACATTTGGGAAATAAAAATAAAAACCACAATCATATGCTACTTTAATACTATCAACGTGGTTGACTCTTTTTTAAGACAGGATCTTGTTACGTAGTTCAGGCTGGCCTCAAACTCATGGATTCCTCCTACCTCAGCCTTCCAAGTACTCGGTTAACAAGCATGCGGCACCAGGCCCAACTGACAGATAATTTTACAGCTGATAATACTAAGTGCTATTAAGAACTGGACGACTCATATATTGCTGATGGAAACACAAAGTGGTACAGTAACTTTAATGGACAGTGTCTATATTATAAAGTTCATTACATACCTACTATGCAATGTAGGTTTCCCACCCCTAAGTATTTAATCATGTGAAATGAGTACTTATTGCTGTGGTCTGAATGTTTGTATCCCCAAATTTTATACGCTGAAATATTTTATACCCAAAAGTGGTATTAGGAAGGAGGTCTTTTGAGGGTTGGTAAGGTCATAAGGACTCACCAGATTAGTGTATTCATAAGAGGTCGGAGAGAGGCTCCCACCACCATGTAAGGACACAATTAGAAGGCACCATATATGAACCAGAAAGTTGTCCTCTGACACCAAATCTCTCAGTGTCTTGGTATTGGGCTTCCCAGGCTCTAGGACTATGATAAATAAATATCTGTTGTTTATAAACTAGTCATTTTGTGTGATTTTTTTTAATTACAGCAGCTCACACAGGCTAGGACATTCATGTTTATATAAAATTCTGTAGTTTTATTAATAATCACCAAAAAACCACCTAAGAAGCTATTCAGATAAATTGTGCTTATATACATATGGTGGACTACTCAAAAATAAAAAAGGAACACCATATTATTCTTGCAATGTGGATAAGCCTGAAATAAGCTTCCCTAAGTGAGAAAAGCTAGATCCCAAAGCCTTCATATCATGTTTCTATTTATATGACATGGAAAAGACAAAACTATAGGGGTAGAAAGCAGATCTGTGGACTCTCAAGTTTTGGAAGAAGAATCAGATGACTACAAAGGGTCAACGTTAGGAAAATTGGGGCAATTAAACTATGCACTATGGTAGTGAATGTGACTCTCAATATTCATAAAACTACATATCAAAAGTGTTTTTTGTATATGAATTTTTTTCTTTATTGGTATACAATAGGTAAACAATACAGTTGCATTCATCATTGGAATCGTGTACCTTTACATGATATGCCTTGGTTCTTCTTTTTTCCCCATTCCCCTGCCCTCCCTTCACCTCCTCCACCTTTCCCTTTTTTTTTCTTTTTATTGAGTTTATTGGTACAATCTAGGTCTACAATACAGTTACAGTCATTACTGGGATCCTGTGCCTTCACACTTTGATCTTTATAATCCTCCCCCCGCACCCTTGTACAAGCTTTGGGTTTCTCTTGCTCTTCTTTTTCTAGAAGCTTAAGATTTAGCATTAGGTTGTTTATTTGAGCTTGGTGTTTTTCTAGTGCAGGTATTCACTGCTATGAATTTCTCTCCTACAACTGCTTTGTGTCCCATAGATTCCTGTATGCTGTATTGGCATTATCATTGTTATACAAACTAATTTCTTCTTTAATTTCCTGTGTGACTCATTAGCTGTTCAGGAGAGTGTTAAATTTCCATGTGTTTGTGAAGTTCTTGCAGTTTCTTTTTCTACTGATTTGCAGTTTAATTGCATTGTGGTCTGATAATACACATGGGATAACTTTAATTCCTTTGCATTTACTTAAACACCTTCTACCAGGTGGCATGTGGTGTATTTTGGAGAATGACCCATGTGCAGCCAAAAAGAATATATATTCTGAATTTGTGGAGTGGAACACTCTGTCAATGTCTATTAAGTCCATTTGTTCAAAAGCTTGGCTCAGTTCTTACATTTCTTTGATTTTTTTGTCTAGATGATCTATTTGACAGTGGCATATTGAGGTCCCCTGCTACAATTATTAGAGCTTATTTGGTTTTTCATGTCCCTATTTGTTTTGTATAGTTGGAAACATTAGTATTTGGTGTATATATATTTATGATTGTCATCTTTTTCTTGGATTGTTCCCTTTAAAAGATGCAGTGAACTTCTTTGTCTTTTTTCATTAGTTTTGGTTTGAAATTTACTTTGTCTGCAAATATGATAGCTACCCTACCCCTGCTTTTTTCTGGGTTCCTGTCACATGGAGAACTGTTTTTCATCCTTTTACTTTCAGTCTATGAGTTTCTTTTTTGAACTAGGCTCATTTCTTGTATATAGCATATTCTTGGATTTTTCTTCTTAATCAATTCCAGTCTATTTCTTTTGGTGAATTGAGACCATTAACATTGATGGTTATAACTGATTTGTATTGACATCATCATCATTTAGTGTATTATTGTATTAAAATTTTTAAAACCAAGAAATTCAGGTAAAGATGGAATGTAGAAGATACATTTAATCTAATTCTCCTATAAGTGACATAATCATACTTAAGGGGTCTTATATCAAAATTGCCAATTAGTTTAACCATTAGGTCATAAAGTAAATACCAATATGAAAATTAAAACTCCAGATTTTGAACTGAAATCATCTTTCAAATGAGCTGTCAAAAGTTTTTGTTTTTTAAAAATATAGTTTAAAGCTTTCTTAAATTCTATTATTGGTTATATCAAACTTCTTTAAAGCCTTTAGGAAGGCTTAAATTAATACAGCTGTGATAAATCATAAATACTGAATAAGCAATAGACCTTCGCCTAAAATATGGTTTGCACATAAAACTGATAATGCTGCCCTTATTCCCAAAAAGAGTATGAAAATATTTTCTCACATAGCAAGGCTTTTGGGGGTTCAGTCAGGCAAGTCTCCCAACCTAACTTGAAAATAGCAGAGAAACTAGACTGGATTTGGGTTTTTATGGTGGATATGGGGTGAGAGTTCCTATATATAGTTTGAACTTCTTGCTGGCACCAAAGGAGAGAGTAACCAGCTTATCAGTTGGACAAGATGTGGGGCAGGAGGAGAAGCAGAGGGTGTAAGGTTTAATTTCACAGAAGTTATACGACACAATATGGAGTCATACTTTTTATTACTTGATAACAAGACAACTAATTTAAAAAGCATAAAACACAAAAATATTGAATGTTTATGAGTTCATCAAATTTGAATGCCTTCATTTAAGCTGTATCTATAATTAGCAAACAAATATCAAACAAATTTTTTGTTAAACACAGAAAATTGTTTTTTTTGTTAAAGACAAGAAGTAAATTTTAAATGTCCTTTGAAAAATATTTAAGCAAAAAAGAGGACCACCACTAATGCAACAATCCCGTTTTCAGATATTAGTCATTCATGTTTAATTTTACTCCATTAAAGATACTACCATACTGATTAAAGTAAAAAAAATTATAATTTGTCATATTTACAAGGAAATAACAGACTTTATTCACTGTTAATAACAAATTGTTTGAAATTATTATTAGAATACCATTAATCTGCATGCTCATCACTGAAAAATCTGATGTCCTGAAGGAATTTTTGTTTCTATCAAAACTACTAAAATACTTAAAGGTAAAACTTAGATTCCAGTGAAAAGCAGACTAAATATTTCTAATAAAGATTAATAGAAAAAAATCAAATTATAATCAGAGTAATAAAAGTTCTGCCTGAACATGGCTTGAAAAATCAAAATAAAAGTAAATAATTAGCTAATTCCACAAACAAAAACACTCAATATGTAAATATTTATAATCAAATAATATAACTATAGTAATCTATTATTACTTTCATCAACAAAAGAAAGTATCGTGATGTTTTCAGTAATAGTATAAATTTATGACATAGATGACTACAGAGATTAAAATAATTTTAAAAACTGGTTCAGAAAAGATTAAATCGTGTTATATTTTGTGAAGATGTTGAAAAACTTTCTGAAGAGGAAGGTATAGAATTTTGATCCTGTTCCAAAGAAAATGGAAAAACAAAATCATCTTTTCCAGCTCCAAATGTACGAGTTGAAGTGTCAGATGAAAATGAAAACGTAAAGGCATCTTCTCGTTTCCCAAATACATTTCCTGAGAGAGATAAATATTATCAGACAGTGCTATTCATGCTATATAAAATTTACAAAACCTCGTGGATTAAAATATACTGCATACAACAAATAGAGTAGTATTGAATCACTTATGAGATATTTAAATATCAGATATTCTTTCTCTGTACAAGGCATGGTCTTTGGTACTATGAAAGGTTAAAACTCAAACTAAACCTTACTTACATGTACTTCTAATTTAAGTACATAAAGAACTAGCTGAAAGAAGATAAAACACCTCAAATGAAGTGTATAGCAGAGAGACCCAGAAATAGGAGCACATAGAAGTGTTAGACAAAAGAATTGATATTCACTTTTGGCAGGGGCACTGAGAAATAATAGACATACTGAGCAGTAATTAATGAAGATGAGTTTAGAAAGTCTAATGAGTGTCCTGCTATATAGTATGGTCTTTATTTAATAAGTAATTAGGGAACCAGTAAGCATTTCAAGCACAGATACCATATTTGAGCTGCCTTATAAGTATTACTCAGGAGAGAATGTGTAGAAAGGCTGAACTGGTGAGTCCTTTTAGGAGTAACCAAAAGGAAAGAAGTCCAGCCAAGAGATAGTGAAAACCTGATGATCACAGCAATGGAAATGGGGAGAGAAAGTACCAGAGCTTAGCTGAAACACTGCATAAATCAAACTAATTCAGCTACTATTTATTAACTAGAATAAATGTTTGTAGACTAGTTTAAGGAAATTGATAAAACAATGAAAAGAAGTCTATCATTATAAAAAGATTTTTAAAAATCAACCTTCAATATCAACTTATTTTGTTCCTGGCTTGTTGCAAAGCCAATAAGGAAAAACATATTTTAAATTTAATATATTACCTAAAACTGTAAACAGAAAAATGCTCAACTTTTAAATTTAATTTAAAATCAATTATTAATTAAAAATCTATACTAATCCTGGGCTGGGAAGTTGGCTCAGTGGTTCTGCAGCCTGCCTTGCAAAAGCAAGGGCCTGAGTTCAATCCTCAGTACCACAAAAACAAAAAACAAAATAAAATAAAAAACATTAAAAAAAAAAAAAAAGTAAAAGGGCCAGGGATTTAGCTCAGCAGTTCGGTGGCCTGCCTTGGAAACACAGGGACCCGAGTTCGATCCCCGGTACCAAAAAAAAAAAAATCTACACTAATCCAGAGTTGAAATAACTCTTTTAAAGCACTATTTTTTTTCATAATAATTAATTTATTATAACTAAGCAAAAGAAATTACTTCATGCCACTTGGAAATTTTCATATATTCTTTTGCAATACTGGGGATGAAACCCAGGGCCATTGCACTGAGCTACATCCTCAGCCTCATTATTATTATTATTAGTATATTATTTTGCCTTTTGATAACAGGGATCAAACTCATGTCCTTGTGCTTATGAGGCAGGTGGTGGAACCACTGAGCTAAATCCCCAGCCCTTCATATATTTTTTCATATCTCAACTATTTCACTCTAAATAGAGCTGGATCAGCTGGAAGAAAACTAGCTGAATCGATAGACGGACAGACTACCAATCACTTGTGTTCTTCCTCTTCTCTTTCTCATTTATGTTGGATTTTGTTGAATGCTTTTACTGCATCTATTGAGATGATCATATGGTTTTTGTCCCTGACTATTAATATAGTATATTACATTTAATGATTTGTATATGTTGATCTGGAAGTCTGGCTTTGGGACTTGTTTCCGTGTCTTCTCATTTCAACAGATGCAGCCTGCTGTGCCCTTGCTGATGCAACTTTTTGCTCACGCAGTGGTCTTCAATTCTCAGCAAGCCACCGAGTAGCCTTTTCTCTGCTGTTCACCAGTACACCAATTCTTGGGTTCAGAATAGTGGCCTGCTGGGTCCCTGAGCTGACCTGTTGTCTGGGCAGGCTTCTGGCTGGGGCCTGTGAACACTTGGGATGGTATCTAGATGTGCCTATTATTGAGGCCTCTATATAGCTCTCGTCTTGGAGGGCCTCTGGCGGGGGGCTGTGCTCCCCAGTTCCTGTCTGAGCAGGCTTCTGGCTAAGGTCTCAGTGCACTTATCAATGGGTATTGGGGCAAGCCTCTGGCTGCTGCTTTTACACCTGTGTAGCTCTTTTCCAGGTGGAACCTTGACTGGGTGGGTGTGCCCGAGCTTCTGGGGTGGGGGCAGAGCCCTGGCTGGGATCTGTGTGCACTCACCAATGCTATGGGGTGGGCCTCTGACTGAAGCTTGTATGCCTGTGCAGCTCTTTCCTAGGTGGGCCTTTGGCTGCGCAGGCGTGTCAAGCCTCTGGGGTTGGAGCAGAGCCCTGACTGGGATGAGCCTGCAGCCATGCCACTCTGTACCACACTGCTGCTTCCAGCACTACTGGTTTTTTGTTTTTGTTTTTGTTTTCATACCATTTGTTACCACCAGTTAAGAGTTAGCTTCAAGATGGGTTGATTCACTTGGCTGGGCTGAACCACTTGGACGAATGACATGGAATCTGACATCTTACAACACTGTTTACTTAGAAAACACAGAAATAGGGTAAATGTAAAATGTATCTGACTACTCTGCTGTGTGAGACCACAACTAAATTAGAGGAGCTAAATTTGCATAGAAGTTTTGGGCCTCTTGACTAGAGTGCTATTAAAGACTGGTAGGTGCTGCAGATTTCATATGTCATTAAGATATACATGCACCATGCCTCTTATCCATAAAAGCCTGGAATGTTCCACATAGGTGGCAAATAAATTTTATTACTTGAGTAGCTGGTAGGCCTTTCAATGAGACAAAAATGCTGTTCCTGCTGTTATCTCCTATCTGTATCCTTCTATAAAGTAAATGTAATAATAGATTTTACTCTGTGACACATGAATCTGACTGCCAGTTCAAACCCATAAAAACTGTTATTACACATTGATATATTTGTCTATCTTCCGTCTCTCCCTCTAAAATATGAGCATCTTATGAGAACTCTGCATTCTTATCCACTGTTCTACATCAAAGCTAAAGGAGTACTTGATACTAAATATAATATGTACATATAAACATATTTATGTGTTGAATGAATTAACCAGTCAAATGATAAAAGAATATCTCATAAAAATATAAGCACCAGAAAGATAGGAAAAAATCCAAAAATTTCAGAAAGAGAATGGAAATAGCCTTATCAAATGCCACAAAGGGACTGAATATGATAAACAATGCCAGATATCCATGCTTGATAACTGATAAGTCATTAGAGATCTTAAAGAAAGCAAGCATTATAGAACAGTGAGATGAGAAGCTAAATTCCTTTTTAAAGATTCATGAGTGGCAGAGAAGTAACTGATTTTTTAAAGAATAAACTGAATGCCTAGGAAAATCAGAGACAAGCTAATACTAAAGGGCAAAGTTAACATGTATTTAGATGTGACAAACTTCAAATCGCTTACCGATTTCTTGTGATGATGGAGGACTGGGATTGATTGCAGAATGACAATGTTCACTAAGCTGGAAAATAATTTCCACTAAATATTATTTGTGAAGTACAACAGTATATCAGCATTTATATTTTAATCTAAAGCCTGGTGCTTCTAATATACATCATTGTAGCTCTCTATATAGCACACTACTGTACTTAAAAAAGAGTTCCATATGACTGGGATATGGCTCAGTGGTAAAGCCCTTGCCTAGCACATGTCAGGTTCTGGATTTAACTCCCAGCACTGGGAAGAAAAAAATAAAGTTGTATCTTCATTTACTTATTGAAATAAGGCCCACTGATTTGATTATAGCAACAGATAAAATATTAACAGACAAAATAATATTCTAAGGATAATTCCTACTTTAGAATATAAATACCTAAAAGTCTACTCTTTATTATCTAAAATTACAATCAACTTGCTTAGTTCTGAAGGCTTTTAACAAGTCAGGTTCTTAGTACTGCTTCTCTACCTACAAAAGTAAGAGGACAGATGGTGACAGCTTCATATGAGTTAAGATTAAGTCTTGCCCAGAAGAGCCTATTTTCTTAGTAAGGTAGGCTTTTATAAAAGCCTTTTTTGTATGTCACTATTCATCTAAAATTTATTTGACTCATAGCAGTACAATATTCTTCTTACAGATATACCATACAGTTTCAACCATTCTTTTATTTCTGAACATTTAAGTTGCTTCAAATATTTTCTATTATAAAGAGCATGCTTGAATACTGTTAGTGCAAAGAATCACATTACTTTGACAGTTAACGAGGAAAGCTGTTTTACCATGACAGAGTGTGAGTCACTTGAATTTATTTATCTGTGAACTATCTATTCACCAAATGATCTTTGCCCATTTATGTCTTGAGGGGGTATTTTTATTCTTATTGGTACATAAAAGTGCTTTATATATTAAAGATATTCTTTGTCATATTATTGCAAATATTTTATAATGCTTTATCATTTTGCCTTTAAAAATGTATGGAATATATACTTCAGATTTTGCATGTAATTAAACTTAATTTCTTATTTTGTTTATTCTTCCACTGCTTTTGTCCTTAGTGAATCTGTCCTCCAAAGGTCTGGTAAATATTCACCTGTATTTCTTCTGAAATATTTAATGGTTAATATTTTTTTTCATTTAATTTAGCATATCTAAATATAGTTTTGTTGGTACATAGTATAATGTGAGAGCATAATTTTTCCCTACTAATTTGTGGTCCCTTCTTGAATACATTCTACTCATTTGTTTTAAGAACTTTCAGCCAATATCATTTATCATTCTATCAATTCTCATATATTAATACATATATCTTGCATACTATTTTGATTACTCTAAGATTATAGGATATTTCAATGTTTAGAAAGTAAAGTTGCCTTGACTAATCCACTTAATAATATTTAGGATGTATTATCTTATTTCTAATATACATATGTTGTCTTATCTTTTTGTCAATCTACATAGGAATATATCAATTTTGTCAATTATTTTCAAAGAACAAACAGGGTTGTTTTTCCATTTTACTGATGTTTTCATCTTTTTCACTCCTTCATTCTACCTACTTTGGATTTGACTTGGTTTTCTAGCTTCCAAAGAAAGAACCTTAGGTCACAGATTTTAGATTTTTCTTCTGTTCTATTTAATTATTTAAATTATCAACTAAATTATTTAAAGCCATATTTTGCTCTAGCCTTGGCAGAATTCCACAATTTTGATAAGGTGAATTTCCACATAATTCAATTCAAAACACATTCTGATTTCTGTCATGATTCTTTGTTCCATGGCCTACATATATATGATTTTCCAAGACAGCTTACTATTATTGGGTTCTAATTTAATTGCATTGTGGTTAGAGAATATACTCTGATCTTAATCACTTTAAATTCATTAAGATTCATTTTATGGCCCAGAATACGGTCTATCTTGGTGAATGTATCATCAGCACTTGAAAAGGGTATGTGTTGTAGTTGTTGAATGACAGCCTATGAAATTCAATTAAGTCAAAGGAATTGATAGTGTTAATTCCGGTCTTACTAAAGATAATGACTGAAATGTCTAATCCTATCAATTGCTCAGAAAAGGGTACTCTAAATATCCATTTTTGAAAACTTATTTCTCCCTTTAATTTTATTAATTTTCATTTAATGTATTTTGAAGCTGTTATCAGGCACATACACATTTGTGATTGCTATATCTTTTGGCTGAATTAAAGTGTTTCCCTTTAAGAAATATCTTCCTTATTGCTAATATTCCTTATCTTGAAAACTACTGTTATGGCTTGTATCTATCTAGATGTCACTCCAAAGCCTCATGTGCTCATAGGTGGGACTTTTCCAAGGTAGCTGGATCTAGGGTGCATGAATGTGGATTAAAGGTCTAATCAATATAGATTAAAGGTGTGATAATTAAATTAGCCCACCGACTGGTTTAGCACAGTTCTGAGTCTGGAATGCCACCCTGGTTGTGGTGGCACCACCCAAAAGACATATAGCCTAGATGGGATAAAAGTGAAATGGAACCCTGCTGCTGTTGCTGCCTCCTACTTGCTCTTCAATGGACTGTTTTTCTTCTGCAGTATTCCTCTGCCACACTACCCTGCCTTCAAGCTACCCAATTATGGACTGACAATTTTACATATGACAAAATAAACCTTTTCTCCTTTAACTTGTGGGAGTTGGCTATTTTTTTCTCAGCAACAATACAAGTAATTAGACAGCTACCAAAAATAGTATAGACATTATGACTCACTTATGGTTAGAGTTTTCATGATATTACTTTACATCCATTTCTTTTTCTTTTCTTTTTTTTTTTTTTTTGAAACAGGGTCTTGCCATGTAGTTCAGACCAGTCTTTAGTTATGAAGCCTAGGCTGTCCTTGAACTCATGGTGATCCTCCTGCTTCAGCCTCCCAAGTGCTGGGATTACAGGTATGCACCACCATAGTTCCATTAATCTATTTTCAATCAATTTTTGTCCTTATATTTAAAGTGTGTCTCTTTTAGGTGCCTTATATTTGGGTCTTTTATCCATTCTTATAATATTTATCTTCTAAGAGTACTCAGCCCATTCATTTTAATGTAATTATTTAAAAGTTTATTATTTTACCTAACATTTTATTATTTATGTTTATTCCCTTTGTGTTTTGTTACTATATTTCTTTTGTTTTAGATTAAAAGTTTTTTAAATTTCTATTTTAATTATCAATCTTATTTTTGAACATTGTCTTAATTATTCTTGACCACTTTTCTCTAACAAGCTTACTAATTACCTGGCTAATCTCCAGCCCAATCATAACATACACACACGCACACGCACACACACACACACACACACAAATTAAAGATAATCTTGCCAGGATTAGATACAAATTGGATTACATTTATAAATTATTCTGAGAAGAATTTTATCTTTATAATAATTTCTTCCTATACAAGTGCTTCAAAATCTATGTATACTTTCTCAGTATTTTTGTAGTTTTCTTTATTCAAAATGTACTTTCTGTTAACATTTATTTTATATTCATGTTGTACATGAAACTAGTAACTATTTAGTAACTATTTTTTCATACTTCATACATTCCTTATAGGAATTGTTTCTGAAATAAGTATTTCCAAAAAACTGAGATAAAATTTGAAGACATGAAGTGATATTCCATTCCAACTATCAATACATTTCCATTTTAAACAATGTAATATATTGTGGAGATATAATAAAAATTTTATTTACATAAAAATGGCTACATGTAGCTAATTTAAATGAACAATAATAATATGATATTTATAGTGCATTGTTACTTATTAAGTGGCTGGTAATTTCCTAAGTGCTTTATTGTATAGACTCATTTAATATTAATAAACACTTTGGTGATAATTATTACTATTTCCTTGTTACAGATATATAAACAGAGTCACTAAATATCCCCACAAACAGTACATACCTAAATAATCTGGTTCTAAGTCTAGCTTCTATAGTACATTGTCTCTACTTTTCAAATAGAGATGTCTTAATTGTTGAGTTTAATGGCTATAAACACAAGTAAGCATTTTACCATAATTTATATCACTGAACAGGAGGAAATTATTTAAATCATTTAAAAGTAATCAATGTAGTGTTACCATTATATACATGCAGTTGAAAAGATCCATTTATGATATTAGTGGAAGTTGGTTAAGAATATGCAGTTTGTTTTCACATTGAAAATATGTTGTTTAGAACTTCAACACAATAATTATAAAACCAAATTCATTTTAAACTGCCTTTAACTGCATTTTAAATCCTTATCTAGAATTTTTTAAAGGGAAAAAATATAATTTGGGGCATCTGAAGTCAAGAACAAAAAGATAACAGGGAACTTTACTATGAAAACCCAAATGTGTGTGTGTGTGTATGTGTGTGGTGGGGATAAAATTCGGGCTTTCACACACTCTAGGCAAGCACTCCACCACTGAGCTATCCCCAGCTGGATATTCAGATTTTTTTTTTTTTTTTTTTTTTTTTTGGTACTGGGGATCGAATTCAGGACCTTGTGCTTATGAGGCAGGCACAGTGCCACTGAGCTAAATTTCCATCCCAGATAATCAGAATTTTAAAAATTGCCTCTGTTGGCACTCTGTGTCTGGAGAAAGTCTGGAACCAAGAACTAAATTATCTAGGTTTTCAACATGCAATTTTTAGAAATAAAACCTTTAGCTTATTTTACCTGATTTGATGATATTTCTGAATCAAATATAGAAGAATCAAATAAATTCAATCCAGGTGATCTAGAGCTATAACTCATAAGAAATGAAAATCCAGAAGACTCTGTTTGTGATTGACCTTCGGAAACTGTATTTCTATTTCTGTTATAGAGAGATTTTAAAAAGTCATCAAAATGTTATAAATATATTATTAAACACTGCAGATTGCTTAGCACCATAAGAAATGGCAGAGAAGTAAGAATTAGCATAGAAGGAAGGGAAAAGCAGAAAGTGATTACTGAAGTGACAAAGCTATGGAGAAAGAATTATATGGGTGGAGAACAATATACAAAAATTTTTTTGTAGATAATTATGACTACTTACTAAGAATATTCTGTCAGGCACTATTTAGCTATAAGCATAATTTACTTATTCCTCATTATAACTAAATGAAGTAGATACCACTTTAAAGCAGAGGAGTTTGCCACTTACAGTCAATTTATAGTAAATTTTACAGTAAAAGGTTCTGAAACACAGAAAGGTTAAGTGATTTGCTCAAACGAGTAAGTGCCAGAGTTGACAATTAGATGTAGCAACCCAGATTCAAAGTCTAAGCTCTTAATCCTGATAATGTCTTCAAGATCTTGAAATCTAATCACAAAACGTGTCTTAGATGAGAAGCCAGCCTTTACAGAGTTTTATGTAAGAGAGCTAAAACTACAAAATGGGAAAAATAATTAGGCAAGTATATAACTCAACGGTTAGAAAGTATAGATTCTATAGCCAGAACTATCTGGGTTCAAATCTCAACTCTAACACTGACTAGCTGTGATCACTTATGATTCTGTTTTCTTATCTATAACATTATTTATGTATGTACAATATGTAAGACTGTGAATACTAAATGAACAGTATTTAAAAGTATCTAGAAAAGTAGTTTACATATAGTGTTCCATAAACTGTTTGTAAAATAATAGGGGCTGGAGAATAGCTCGTAAAATATAATAGTAGCTGGAGTCTGTACTCAGTGGATGCAAGGCTTTGGGTTCATTCCCCAGCACCAAATGAATAAGAACTCAATATATACATTATCTTTAGCTAATGCTGCAGAAAAAAATGAGAAGCATCTATGAAATAGGAAGAGAAAAATATTAGTAATTGTTCAAACAGGGTGATAGGTACATGGACGTTCATTATAAAAATCTCTCTTTTACATGTCTCAAATACTCCTTATGGAAAACTTTTTAAAGTTACAGGTACAGGCATTTTACTGTTCCTATAAATTGTTTACATAATTCAATGTATAGATAATTTATAAGTATTAATTAAAATCCTACATTTCAAATGAGGGGGTTTTAGAGAGCTGCATTTTCTCCAAAGATTCAGGTATCTTTATAGCTTCAGGAGTTCTTGAAAATAAAGGAACGTCAGGAGTTTGTGGAAAATTCTCAGCCATTTCTTCTGCATTGTCACTATTATTTTCTATTGACTCTCCAAAAGGTTCTGTACATATACCCTGCAAATTCAAAGTAACAGAAAATGGTAAAACTGAATGTTACTACATTAATAAAATTATATATGTAAGAACAAATCAGGTGGGAAGCATCCTATTAATATTATCATTTCATAGATCAGTAAAATAATAACTAGTAAACTGATACTAAAATAAAGAAAAATAATTATTTTAAATTATCTTATTTTTCTTCCCAGCTCCATTTTTCTTGCCCTTACCTGAAAAAAAGTAAATGTCAACTAGAACATACTAAAATTGATAAAGAAAGACGTTTAGGAGTAATTTTCTTTTAAAATTTCCACATTACACTCTCTGAGAATCATCCATGCTACTTCCTTGAAAGAGCAACGTAATCGCTCTCATTGGTTTATGCTGTAATTTGGAGCTGAAACATCATCTAAAGACGGGTCTTTAGATCAGCCTTGATCCCCAACATGGCACTTTTGGGAGGTGGTAGAAACTTTAAAGAGGTGGGGCCTAGTGAGAGGTCTTCGGGTCATGGGAGACTACCTGGCAAGGGGACTGAGGGACACCATTCTCTCTGTTCATCACTTCCCAGCCACAAGGTAAGTGGTTTTGTTCCACCACGCACTCTTACCATGAGGTGCCACAACAGGTTCAAAGCAAGGGAGCCAATTTATTATTGCCTGAAACCACTTGGAGCCAAGTAAACCTTCTCTCTTCGTAAGTTCATTATATCAGGTAATTATTATTTTAGATCATTGTTAACAAAAAGGTGACTAACACAATTTATTATGTATTTATACCTAGGGTAAACTTGTTAGACACTGCATCATCATTAACGCTTCCACCATTCAAAAACACTTTCAGGATACTTTTATGGAAACCACCGGCCTTCAGTAGCCATGTCAGATCAATCTATCTTACCAAACAAAACTGTTTCTTTAACCATGGTGTCTCACTTGAAAACATTTTGTATATTTTCATATAAACTTGTGGTTTTATTTTTAAATCTGAAAAATATAATCTGTAACTCTCTAGAAATCTGATTATCAACCCAGAAGCATCTCACATAAATATTTTCATTGTATTAAATCTGAAATTAAAATGGGCACAATAACTTTAAATCAGAATGGTTTGCTCAGAAATTTGAAGTCAACTATTTGACTTACTTGTGAAGTACATTTCAGTTCTCTTACTTGTCTTCCTGTCCCTTTATCTCCACACTCAGCATCTGTTTGTTACATAAGAACAATTTTTCTTTTTGTAATTTTATTGTAAAATAAAACATGTTGACTATATGAAATTGCCAACATTTAACTGTTTAAACCTACAAAAATGGAAATTTCAGATGGTTCAGCCTGATACATACAAATAAGGCAATAAAACAGTCTAAACAGTTTAACAAACAAAAAGTATAAAGAAAACACACATGTGACCACCACCCAGATAAAGAACTAGAGGGCAACCCACTTTCTGGTCATTCATCTTTCTCTCTCTTAGACAGAAGCTTTCTCTCCCTCAATAAATTTTTCCTACTCTTAACCTCCATTGTTCCTAGAATTCATTCTTCAATTTTAGAGAACACTAACTCACGTTTCCAGTATCTAGTAGGCTTGGGAATTACATCTCTTCCCCCTATATCATTTTAGAGGTCTTCCAACAAGATTACTGGTCAGAGGTATGAGTTTTCTTTCATAGGTTCTAACTTTTGTCTTTTTTTCTTCATAGATTGTAACTTTTTGTTTCATTGTCTTTGGCCATTTGTTTCATAAATTCTGGCCTTTGGCTTTCCTTTCAAAAGTGTCTTAATTTTAAGTTGTGTATTTTAAATGTTTGCAATTTTTTTTTCTTATGCATTTTCTCTTGTTAAAATTATGTTTTTTTTCTTTTGAATATGTTGCATTTGGACTTCGTTGCTTTAAAATGTTTTAAACTGGGTCTCTTATAAAATCATCTCACATAAAGACAGTTTAGGCTTTTATCTGTCCCTTATAAAATCATAAACAAACAGTGGTTACCCTGCCAGCTAGTAATTGCCCTTATGGCAGCTGCCACTCTCAAAGCAGAGGACAGGTTTCTCCAGTTGCCCACTGGTGAATCCCTACTCCCACTGAAGCCAACAGCAGGTGGAATGGCAATTGGATACATTTCAGAGACAGATTGATTGTGTGAACTAGAAGAAACTGAGGTGACAACTGAGGGGTAATGGCCAGGGCTACTCTCTGGCTGATACCCAAAGGTCCCTCAGAAGAGCCCACCCGGGTAATCAGCAGAAAATACCCACATCTTGTTCCTATCTGGACTCCTCTGTGAGGTGAAAGGGAAACTCTGTCAGTGATCATCAGATATCCTCTGTCTCCAAGTGATCTGAAATGATGCCTCTTAGGCTTCCATTAAGTGTTGAACTATAGATTTGGATTGCTTTCTCTACTGCTAGTAAGACAGAACTCTGGACATTTGTTAAAAAAAACAAAGAAGAAGAACCTTTGATATAGTAAAAACTAGTAGAATCCTCTCTCCCCCTAGGAATAGTCTCCATTTATGTGTGCAGGGGAGAAAAATACCTTTGCTGATAGGTTTTGGACTTGGAACTTTCACTACAGACTTTAGAGTGCTATGTGGTGATATCTGATGTTTAAATGGCTTAAACTTTATTTGGACATTTTCTCTCTGCTAATGCAAGAAACTCCCCTCAAACTTTTCTCCTACTTATTGGGAGTTCATTTAAGAATCCCTTGTGGGTCAGACCACTCCTCCTTCCAGGAAGTCAGACTAAGGCAACTCACAACTGTTTAGTCTTACACTAGGGAAAATAGCAATCAATAACTTGCATTTGTGGTTTTACATGCTAACTAGAATATGGGACTATTTTGGTCAGTCTTTCCATTCCTTCATTTGCACATAGTTGATAAAGATTCCTTTACTATGTATATCATGGTTTCTATTCTAGGAGGACCTATGAGTTTCAAATACTTAATGAATGTAAAATGTACCTTAAAGGATTAGCCTTGTCTTGCTGCTAATAAAAGTTACCTAAATGACTTGACAGACAACAGAAATTTCTTAGAGCTTTGTCTACTCTAGGGCCCAGGGCAGAATCTCTGACTTACCATCTTTGACATGATCTCTTTTGCAGGAAAAGCGCCCTAATTTGACTGTCTACCTATTTTCCTCTCTCTTTCAAGGAGCTAGAAAGCAATGGTTTGCTCTCTCAGTTTGCTAGCATTCTCCCTTCTTTAAACATGATTGTTACAGCTGAAGTCAATTGTAACTTGTGCTTTGAGAGTACTCACTGGAGTAAGGATATGAATTACCTGAGGAAGATAAAATCTCAGTCTGGTAAAGGGTAGAGATAGTCCAGTCTTGTTTTATTTTCTGGGTATCTCTCCAGATGGTAGCTACCTACCCTGGACTGAAATAAACCTTGGGGGATTCCCTGGGGATGCTCTAGGGAGCACAGGAATCAAGCAGAGACTTATGGGACACCATATTTGTTTCTATTGTTTCAGATTAGAAACTCCATATCTGAATTTTGCACTCCTTTGGAATGTGTTAAGGAGTAAATTAGTATTTCTCTACACCCACGCATGGTGTGGCCACCTCCTAAAAGTACACAGAGGAATAAGAATTATAGCGTAAAAGAGAGAAAATGATAAAAATCATCTTATGTTGAGATTTTCTTTACATTAAGAACTAATTCTTGCTTGTGTTCAAATGTAAACGTAATGAGAGACACCTTGCCCTTAAGACATTCAGCACCTCTATGTCTGAGGCTACTCCTCTCTCTTTAGAATCTGAGAACAAAGTTTCCAAGACAACTTTAAACCTGGACCACCAGTGCTGAGGATGGAGTATCTAGTCCAGCCATAGTTAAATCCTCCATGAGGCTATATCCACCCTTAGCTAAGTTGCTCAGGTCCCTCAAAGACAACATCCCTTGCAGGAAGTAAATGGCAAATATGGGACTATCTGTGTTCATGTGTCTTTTTCTCAGTGATGTAACACAGATTAAATGAGACCTCATGAAGTCTTTGGATGACCCTGATAGGTACATTGAGGTCTTTAGAGAACTTACTCAGACCTATGGACTAGATTAGAAAGAGGTAATGTTGCTCTTAAGTCAAATATTGATTTTTAATGAGACAAGTAGTATTACATTTAGAGACAAATATTATCTTAATTTTATAAGCTCAAAAGACAGGCAGCCAGGGGAATAACTGGTTTCTACTGGAACACAAGCAGTTCCTCTACACGACCCCTACTGGCCTGCCAATCAGATAGGAGATTAAAACAGAAGATATTTGCAGGCATGTATTCTTAAAGATATAAGAAACATGAAAACTAAGCCCTTTAGTTATTTTAAATTGTCAACTATTTATCAGAAAAAGATGAGACATCCTTGGATCCTGATTGGATAAAAAGAAAATACTATAGTTTTTCTCAAGTCACAATCTTGCAATATATAGATGGTACAGTGTTATATGCCCTCTCAGAAGACTTTCTAGCCAAGACACCTGTGCTTGGCTAAATTTTCTAATAGACAGAGGTTATAATGTTTCTAGAGCTAAGGCACAACTTTGCAGCCTTGAGGTAAATTATTTAGGCCTTGTAATATCTAAGGGAATCCAAAGACTGATGGAAGAAAGAATTAAACCAATTCTTTCCTTTCCACAGCCCAAAACCCTAAAACAGCTAAGTAGATTCCTAGAAATTACAGGCTTTTGTCAACTTTAGGTAGCAGGATATAGTGAGATTCTCTGACCCCTCTATCAGCTTACAGAAAAACTAAAAAGACAGCATATTTTAACCTAGGAACCGTATTCTCAGACTGAATTTCAGAAGCTCAAATGAGCACTTGTAAGTGCCTGCTTACAGGATGCAAACAATCCAAATAATTTATTTGAATAATACAAAAGCTGATATAATTTGCTACTATTAGAAAAAATATGAGCAAATACCTGTATGTTCTTTTTCAAACCACTGTTTATAATTTGATTGTTTCTGTGGAGTTAATCTAAAATGAAATAAATATAATTGTTATATTATTTTTTCAGTTGATATTAATAAATTATTTAGAAATTAAAGCTTTTTTAGTGCTGCTGGCCCTCAAACCCAGGGCCTACCACATGTAGACCAGCACTCTAACAATCAGTTACATTTCCAGCCTCTGAATATTTTATTTTTAAAAGTTACCTTAATTGCATAAAATGGTATGCATTTTTAATAGTTGTAACACGTGAATGGTTATTCACATCAGAGTCACTGGATACCTGAAAGAAATTAAGCATTAAAATCACTAAATAAAACAATAAATATTTGCCATAGATATTCAGGGCACTCATTACATTAACATTTCCTCCTCATGATCATCATCAATATCAACATCTACAAACATTAACTGAAATCACCACACAAAAAACAAAATCAAACACTGGGAAGCAAAAACAAAACTCAATATTCTCAAGGGATTTGATTATTTTGTGTCAGGTGTAACTAATTTGTGCTAGTACTTTTATATTTAAGGTAAACATATCAGTCATTTTCCCATCTCTAAGACAAAATATCCAGTGTTCACAATTTAAAGGATAAGAGGTTCATTTTGGCTCACAGTTTCAGTGGATTTGGTCAATAGTTGGCCAGCACCAAGGCAGAATTGGTGTGATGGAAGGGCAAAGAGCCAAGGTAAAGAATATACCTTTCCAGGTCACACTCCAGTGATCCACCTCTTCCAAAAAGGCCCAACCTCCAAACAGCACAGTTAGCTATGAACTCATCAATGAACTAGTCCACTAATGAGCATAGTTACCCCCAACGATCCAATCACCTTCAAAAAGTCCCACCTCTGAACATGAGACTTTTGGAGAACATTTTAGACCCAAACCATAACATTCCAATCCTGTTCCCCAAAATGCTTAAGTCCATCTCATTATGCAAAATACATTTAGGACATCTCTAAGAGTCATCAAAGTCTTAACAATTCTACACTGCTAAAAAATATTAAGTCTACAGTCTCCTCTGAGACTCAAGGCAAACTCTTAGCTGTAAGCCCTTGTAAAAATTTTAAAAATTAAATTCTTCCAAAATATGAGGGCAGAGAGTAACTACTTCCACTTCAAAGGGGAGGAATAGGGGGATAGAAAAGAATCACACCAAAATGAATGAAAATCAGCAAGGAAAGTATTAACTCCTGTAGTTCTGTGTTCAGCACCCACAGCAGGCTGTGGCAAGATGTGAGCTCCAGAGGGCTTGGGTTGGTTGCATGTCCTTTCTCTTGGCCCAGCTCCACTACCTGCTTAGGATTTTCCTCCACCAACATTCCATGCATTATCAACTTCCCAGGATTTTCACTGCATCTTTGGCTGCACTTCAACGGTTTCATGGATCATGCTGTCAGGGGCACATTGCCTCATCTCCAAGGACTCTGAAGTCTGAATGTAAGCATCCCTGGTACCACAACTCTTATATTCTACATGCCTGAAAAACTAGCATCACACAGATGATGCCAAAATCTGTAGCTGGCTTTTTCCCCCATTCTCCTGCCCTCCCTTCAACCCCTCCAACCCTCTTTACAAAGACTTTGTTTCTATTTTTCTTTTTCTCATATTAATTTCATTCCCTTATTTCCTTTCGCCTACTCCTATCATATACCCTTTCACTTTGCCACTTTCTTCCTATTTCAAATTATCTATTGTAACATTTAGTCCTTATTTACACTTTGTTTCTCATACTAAACTATTCAGTATCTTTACACATGTATCCAATTTATTTCATTTGAGTATCACATCAACATGCATCCATTTAGCTATAAATATCTCAGTTTCTCATTCTTTTTTTTCTTTAATGTAATTTTAATACTCATTGTAAGCTGAAGACAATAATAATTTAATGCAATAAGCTAAGTACACACAAAAGCTGTATGTCCTGAATTACACAAAAGAGTTTCTATGGCCACATATAGTTTCAATCAAGTATACATTTCCATAATGAGAAACTACTTACAAATATGTTAATATAACACTATTCCAAATGCTTATTTTACTATTATTCTTTTAGGCAGTGATCACCATTGCTACTACTAAAAGCATTTAAATTTAGAATCTTTGATCTGGGAAAATTAGTTCTCCTAAAACTTAGCAAATACCTGTAGTACGTTAGAAACCAAAAGGCTTTTAAATCAACAAAAGCTTTAACACAGGAGCACTGACATGAAATTTATTTTCTCAAAAACAAACACACAAAAAAGTTATCTTTAGAAAAGATAGTAAAACAAATTTTCTTACAAAAACTTGTAATTTCCTACACCATCTCCTTACACACAAAAATGATGACTACTGTCTAAAAACTTCAGAATACATGAAGTACATGCCTTAGCTGTCAGTCAAAAAGTCCACTGAGATTTTACCTATCAAACAGCTAGCATACAGCTTATAATGGCATGAATATATCTAATATATAATACAAGATTTTTCTTCAGACAGTCCAAAGTGAGAAGGAACTGCATGGTTTGAAGTCATAACTTATATGTAAATACATAACTCATATGTAGTCATTAAAATCTAGCAAGTAATTCAAGTATGGTCATATAAAGGCAGGCAATTAAGGGCTGGAACCAAATGCTCTAAAAACAAAGACATGAAAATAAAGGCTGAAAAACTTGTGCTTCTTCCTCTTATGTACACGCCTAAGCATCAAGACAATACTACAGAAAATAAACATATATGGTTTCCATAGAAAATAATGACATTTCAGAGAGTACACAGGTGTCAAGACCCATAGTTTGCTTCATCAAATGCTTTTCTAGCTCATTTCAATTCTTCATTCATAGTCAGCAAGTCTTTAACTCTAGCAAATTTCCTCAGGTCCTTTTGAATCAAGAAGACATGATATCTTCGATTTGTACTTGACCTTGTCTTCCAATGGACATTGCCTTGTGAGTCATTTTAGTGATGAACTCTATGACAAGGTCTTCAAGAATATCCACTGACTCAGTATAAGGATTCTGGTCATCTCCAAACCCACACATCATACATCACAATTCTTTAGAAAAAAGTTTCTTTTACCCTGTCCACCTTCAGCACCTCCTCCAATTTCTTCATTTTCCTCCTCAAATGTAAGATCCTCTTCCTCATCTGCCATCTCACTAGCCAGCAAAGACCCAGAGCCCCTAGTTTCTCATTCTTTATGTCTGAGTAGTACTCCATTTTATTAAAATAATCACATCTTTATCCAGTCTCCACTTCATGATGAATTGGGCTGTTTTCAAGTTTTAGCTATTACCAACCGTGCTGCTGTAAACATGGGTGCACATATGTCACGTGGTATTATTCTTTTAATTCTTTTGAGATGATACCCAGCAGGGGAATAGTGAGGTCAAATGGAACTTCTAATCCTAGATCTGTGAGGTATCTCCATACTGATTTCCACAATGGTTGTACCAGTCTACACTCCAACATACACTGTTCCTTTTCTCCACAGCCACACCAGCATGTCATTGGTTGATTTCTTGATAGCAGCTATTCTTTCCGAGGTGAGGTGGAATCTCGGCCTTGTTTTCTATTGCATCCCTCGAATGACCACTAATGTTGAACATTTTTCATATTTTATTTGTTGCTTTTGCTTCTTTGTCTGAGAAATGTCTATTCATTTCAGATGCCCATTTTTAGATTGGGTCTTTAAATTTGAGAGGTCTAATTTTTTTAAGTTCTTTTTATATTCTAGATAGTAGACCTTTCTCTGAGGAACAGCTGGTAAAAAAACTTTTTTGCCACATTGTGGATTGTCTCTTTATGCTGTTGGTGGTTTCTTTTGCAGTGCAGAAGCTTTTTAATGAGAAGATATCCCACTTGTTGATTATTTGTGCTAGCTCACATGCAACTGAGGATTTGTTCATGAAATCTTTTCCTGTGCCAATGTCTTCAAGAGTTTTACCTAACCTCTCTTCCAGCTGGTTTAGTGTTTCTGTTTTAATATTTAGATCTTTGATACATTTAGATTTTAGTTTAATGCATGGTGCGAGGTATATGTCTAGTTTTAATCTTTGGCAAGGTGAAGCTCAGTTTTTCCAGCACCATTCATTAAACAGGCTATCTTTCCTCCAGTAAGGCTGCTTGGCTTCTGTGTCAAAGGTGAGGTGGCTGAGTGTGTCTGTAGTTTTTTCTGCATCTCCTACTCTGTTCCACTGATCCTCGGGTCTGTTTCTTTGCCAGTACCATGCTGTTTCTTTAAAATCACAGTAGCTTTGTAGTATAGTTTCAAGTTAGGGACTGTGATACCCCCTGTCACGTCTCTGTTGCCTAGAATTGCTTTTGCTATTCTAGAATTCTTCTTGTTCCAGATGAATTTTTGGATTGTTTTCTCAAGGTCTGTGAAGTACGATGCTGGAATTTCAATTGGGGTTGCACTGAATCTGTATAGCAGTTTTGGAAGTATGGCCATTTTCACAATGTTGATTCTTCCTACACAGGAGCAAGGGATGTCTTTCCACTTTCTGATAACCTCTTCAATCTCTTTTTTCAAAGTGCTATCATTTTCAGAGTAGAGGTCTTTGATTTTTTTCATTAGGTTGTTTCCTAGGTATTTCTTTTCTGTCTTTGGGGATCAAGGTAATTTTGGCAGATCTGTATATGCATATAACATACTTTGATCATTTTCAGTACTACTTCCTTGTCCATTTCCCCAGTCTTGTATTTGAGGGGAAGGTTTCAATGTGTATATTTAAATCATATCTCCCATTACCTATCCTTACATCCTCCTCCCCCTCATTCCTTTCCTCTTGTCTAACAGACTCCCATCTACTTTCATTTTCATATAGACTCCATGTATTAGGGAGAACCTGTGATATTTGTCTTTCTACACTTGATCTTAGCCAAAAGGCCGAGAAGCGATTGATATTTGTCTTTCTGAGTCTGGCTCATTTTGCTCAACATGATCATCTCCAGATCCACCCATTTTCCTATAAATGGCACACTTTGCTTCTTTGTTATGGCTGAATAATACTTCATTATGTACATATACATTTTCTTCATTCATTTGCTGATGGGCACCTAAGATAGTTCCATATCTTGGCAACTGTGAACTGTATTTCAATAAAATGGGCATGCATATATATACATATCCTTTACATAGGTAGATATCCTTTAGGAATATACCAAGGAGTAGTATAGGTCAATCAATAGTAGCTCTATTTTTAGCTTTTTTGTTTTGTTTTTTAGAAGCTTCCATTCTGAATTCCACAGTGGCTGTACTAGTTTATATTTCCATCTATAGTGTAGAAGGTTTCCTTTTTCCCTTTTATCCTTACCATCATTTATTGATTTTTGTTTTTTAATAACAGCCATTCTGACTGGGGTGACATGGAATTCTCAGTGTAGTTTTGATCTGCATTTCCCTTATGGTCAAAGATGCTGAATACTTTTTTGTATACTTACAGGCCATTTGTACTTCTTTTGAGAAGTGTTTGTCCTACTCATTTTCCCATTTATTTATTAAACTATTTGATTTTTTTGTGTGTCAAGATTTTTTTTAGTTATTTATATATTGTAGAGATTAATCCTCTGTTGGAAGAGTTGCTGGAAAATATTTTTTTCATTCAATAGGCTGTCTCTTTATTAGTTATTTTCCTTGCTGTGCAAATATTTTTTAATTTTATATAGTCCTATTTGTTCTTATTATTTCCTGTGCTACTGGGGTTATATTCAGGAAATCTTTGGCAATTCCTATAGCTTCTAGTACTTTTTTAGCAGATTAAAGTTTCAGGTCTTACACATAGTCTTTGATTCATTTAGAATTTATTTTTTGCACAGGGTAAGAGATATACCCTCATCTCATACTGAAATCATCTAAAATTTTAGTACTAGAATTTTAATTTCTACAGTTAAACTAGTTGGTTCATTAACTACTTTATCTACAGCTACCCTGTATCCATCTTAATTAATCACCAATTAGTAAAAAGACAATTATATTTTTTATTGAGGATTTCCTCCTCGACTGTTTCATGTAATATAGGGAGGAAAAAAAGATGCGTGACATCAGCAGTTAACTTTCTGCATGTTGTATTCCTTGTTCTTCAAAGGCATCAAGAACTACCCAGGGTGCCTGTCTGTCTCCCTCATCAAAGCTCCCACATTCACGTCTACCTGGAGACGGCCATCCCACTGCTTATACCTGACCAAAGACAAAGTAGATGTGGGATGGAAAGGGCTAACTAATCCAACTCCCACTGAGCTAACCCCACCAATTACCCATTCACTGTCCCTGGAACAGTGTTCCTTTATACATATCCACAACTACAATTTCTTTCAATCCTCTTTTCCTCCTTCAGAGATTTCTCATAAGTTCTGGTCTACTAGATACAAGGCTTGATATTTTTTAACATCTTTTCTATTATTTTTGAGGGTAAGGAAGCAGGTTTTAGTAAATGTCTGAATGCATATTGAAACTGCTTTAAATTTCTTTAGAGCCTTAGGTTGTACTAATGGCTAATTTAACACATTTATAACACACACACACACACACACACACACACACACACACCCCTTGGGTCCTAAATGTAGTACATTATCTCATTTAATGTAAGCATACATTTAATTCATACTATTAAAAAACAAACACCTACCTGTGTATTATTTTCTTTCTGTCTGAAATCAGTATTGGCAAGCTTTGCCCGCTTCGCAGAACTTTCTTCTTCTTTATCTAGATTATTAAATAGTACTACTTCAAATTAGTTATGAAAACAAAATCAGACATCATCTCAAACTTTTTTTTTCTGCTAGGATTGAACCCAGGGCCTCCCACATACAATTCGAGCTCTACATCCCTGGCCTTTCCCTCCAACATTTACCCAAAACTTCTAATTCAGAAAATCAAGTCTATGTTAATATTTAATTTAAAGTAAAATACAGAATTATGAAATTATTTTGAAATGCTTAATTCATCACTATTAGTTCTTACAGTAACTATGAACATGAAATGAGAAAATGGCCAACTGATAAAACTACCCTTTTATAATGTATAACCAAAGAAAACACAATGGTGATATAAATAATGAGAGAAAACAACCAATGTAGTCAGTGTGATACAGTATAGATAATCTAATCTGCAGACTCACTGAACAAAATCTTACACACACATCTCAGTAACAAATTACATAAGTCTCCTATGCATTTAAATCACACATACTGATAATACAACTCCCAAAATGAAAAATATGTAATTATCCACCTGACAGCTGTGTGATCATACTAGAACATTTCTCTTAACTGTATCATCTGCGTATTTTGTTTGCTCTGAGAAAGATTAACAGTGGTACCTTCCTAAGTCTCTAGGTCTAGAATATTATTTGTTCTTGCTTACACCAAATGATAAATAAAATAATTTCCTTTTATTTCCTTTTGTGTTTGTACACAAAAACATTTTTAATAATAATTCCATACCTGCAACTTTTTGTTCTGACCACTGCATTTTCATTGGTCTTACAAATTGCTGAGATTCGTAGGGCTGATATAATTGACTGCCTTGAGGAGTTTTACTGAATACATGCTCATCTTTTTCAAATATTCTAAAGAAAAGAATAGATGAAAGTTAATATTAGCTAAGTAATATGAAAATTTTAAAGCTATAAGGGATATTTAGATACTACCTGTATATAGTTAAAATTCTTCATTTTGCAGAGAATGAAAATGAATTCCAGAGAATTTAACAGACTTGACCAATATTACTAAATTATTTGGTAGTTATGTCAGAGCCACATCAAGCCCAATGATCAAGCCCAATGCTCTGCTTAGTATACTACCCTCTTATTTTTAAAACAATCTTTTTTTTTTTTTTTTTTTGGTTTTTTTTTAGACAGGGTCTTACTATGCAGTTGAGACTGACCTGGAACTCACTATGTAGCCCAGGCTGGTCTAGAACTCACAGAGATCCTCCTGCCTCAGCCTCCTGAGTGCTGGGATTACAGGCGTGCTAAAACAATCATTTTTAAAAACTTTTTAAACAGATCAAAAACATTTTAAACCAGGCGTGGTGGTGCACACCTGCAATTCCAGCACTTGGGAGACTGAGGCAAGAAGATTGTCATGAATTTGAGGCCAGCCTGGGCTACAAAGCAAGAGCCTGTCTCCAAAGAAAAATGTTTTTAATCAAAGCTTTAACCTCAAATAGCATGTTTTAGATTCAAAAGTACTTTCTTTCTTTTTTTTTTTTGGTACCGGCGATTGAACTCGGGTCTTTGTGCTTGCAAAGCAGGCCACCAAACTGCTGAGCTAAATCCCCGGCCCGAGTACTTTCAACTTTAAAAAGACTTAGAAAAAAATTCAACTAGTATGAATATAGAAATTATTAAAGCAATATACCTATCTTTTAAATTTTTTACTGGAAGAATAATTTGAGTTTTTTCTAAATCAAGGAACTAGAATAAATACTATAAAATACATTAGTCCCCCCTTCTCAGCAGTTGATGTCCTCAGCAGATACCTGAAACCATGTACAGTATCAAATATTGAATACATCACACTTTTCCTATATATATAAAAATGTAATGCCTTTTCCATCTTAATTAAGGACTTAGGATACATTGTGGCCATAAATTTTGCAGTGTGGAGTATGACAGCAAAACTAGCATGAATTTCTTTTTCTTTCACAAGTTCATAGATACAAATTCATTCTTATTACAGATCTTAGCAACCTAAGCATGTGATGGTTTTGTTTCCTTAAATTGAGACATTTCATTTAAAGAAAGTACTTTACAGCTTTTCACTGACATATTCAAATTTTAGTATCACTACTCTTTGCACTTTGGGGCATTTTTAAGTAAATAAGTATTATTTTAATACAAGCTCTATGATACCACAACAGTCAATCAGATAACCAACAGGACTAGTAAAGGCAGGGAATGTATTGAGCATAGGTACACCAGACAAAGGGTTGATTCATATCCCATGTGGGACAAAACAGAATGGTGTAAGATCACATCACACTACTCAGAATAATGTGCAGTTCAAATGTTGACTTCTAGATTTTTTTCATTTAACATTTTTGGACTATGGTTGACCATAGATAACTAAAACAATAGAAAGCAAAAGCATGGATAACGGGGGACTACTGTATACACCAAGTTAAAAGAGATTAAATATTTATGTAAATCTCATTCAATATATACAATTTTTATATTAAAGCACTCTTAACCCAGGTGTGGTGCTGCACAAATCCCGGCACTTAAGAGGTCGAGGTAGGAGGATTGCTGCAAGTTCAAGGCCAGGCTGGGCTGCATAGCAAGACCTTTGAGAGAGAGACAGATGGAAAGAGAGAGGCAGAGACAGAAACAGAGACAGAGAGACAGAAGAAGGAACGAAGGAAGGAAGAAAAAGGGAAGGAAAGGGAAAGATCTGCCTATTTTTTCAATTATAAAATTAGAGACATGCTGCCATAGATGTGATATGTGAAAGTAGGAGGATCAAGAAAGTAAGAGATACAGGACTGGGGGCTGTGTCTCAGTGGTAAAGTGTATACTTGGCACACATGAGACCCTGGATTCAATCCCCAGCATGACTGAGGGGCAGGAGGATAATAGATCCAAGGAACTGGGATTAGGGAAATTAACACAGGAGTGTGTTGAAAATCAGAAGGAAATGGAACCTGAGGAATAAAATGTAAGAACAAAAAGGAAGTGGTATACGTAGAAAGAAAAAAGAGAGAGTTGATCAGAAACAATAACAGGAATAACATTCATTTTTCTTCAAACAATAGTAGACAAAATCAGGGGTGTTTGGGGGGTTGTTGTTGTTGTTTTGTTGGTTTTTTGAGATAGGGTCTCACTATGTAGTTGAGACTGACCTAGTGCTGGGATTATACGTGTGCACCACCGCACCTGGCTGGTTTTTTTTTTTTTTTCTTAATGCCTCTATCACTGATGTCTGTATTCTCACCATTAGGATAAAAGACAAGGAAATATATGATGCAACAGATCTAGTAGCAGTTCGGGGTTCATCTTCATTCTTAATAGCAAGGGAAGAAATAGTCAAGCTACTATCAGAGTGATAAAAATGGAGACACATGACTGTTCCTACCACTGCCTCTCCTGTTTTACTTTCTACCATAGAAAAGTGAGTAAATTACATGACTGACAAGTTACAGAACAGAAGATGTGCTGCTGCTACCTTATTCTCTCTACACAATATTCTTAGCCTTAGTAAACAACAAGCACATATAAAAAGTATGTAAGTTAATATACTTCATAAGATACTAATAGAGTTTGCCCAAAAATTTATATTAGGATGAACACAGAATTAAACTTATAGATGTAGAATATCTATTCACATAAAATCCAATTTTAAATTTACTTATACCTTTCTTTCAATTCCTTTCTCTTTCCTGTATTTTTGTTGTTTTCTTCCAGAGTTTCTGAAAGATTTTTACTCTCATAAAGTCTTACAATCTCCTAAAAAGAAAAGTGAGAAAGCAAAGCAAAATAATTACCTGCAAAGTAGTGGACAAAATTTATATTTTTGGTAGTATTCACTTTATTGAAAATGGCTAAAAGTAAAAATTAACACTAATTCATACCCTTTCAACTTTTCTTTACTCCTAACTCAGCAAATGTAAATTTCAAGAAACTCCATCTCTCCCCCGCAAAGAATGAAAACAGTCATAATGTAAACACTGATCCTGGCACAGAGACACAGTTACTATAAAGAAAACAGCATCCATTTCTGCCTCATTACTACAACTGTGTTACTGTTATCTGGTGCCTCATAATTATAAATGATATATACTCTTTGACATATTCTTTAATTTAGAAAATTAGACGTCATATTTAATTTTTTCTCAAAATCTGCAAGTGACTTTAATAGGTTCTTGTACCTATGTAAACCAAAGTCATAATTCAATAGATAATCCTAAAACTCTATTTAATAAAATCTTAAAAGCTATTTCTAGCCTAAATCTCTAAAAATTATAAATTGTAGCCACTAATTTTCAATAGTAAATTCTTTACACTATTATCTAGGTCCCTTTTTTAAAAATACTGTTGCTCTTTTAGTGCCTTAAGATTCCTGTTATGGGTATAGGAGATAGCTCTGTAATAAAGAACTTGCCTAACATGAGTGAAGCCCTCAGTCTGATCTGCTGCATCATAAATTAGGGAAATAAATAAATTCCTTTTACTAAGCTTTGTCTTGTATTTTGCTTGTTTCTTTCTTCAGACTCCCTAAAACCCCAACTCTTGCCCAAAACTCAAGAGTTAAATCTATTCAGTATCTGAAATACACTTTGGTTTCAGCAGTAATTAGAGGCAAAAAAAAATCCTTGCTCTCTATATAGGTTTTCTTAAAAATAGCTCTTCTAGCCAGGCATGGTGGTGCACACCTGTAATCCCAGCACTCAGGAGGCTGAGGCAGGAGGATCACTGTGAGTTCGAGACCAGCCTAAAAAAAAAAAAAAAAAAAAAAAAAAAAAAAAAAAAAGCTCTTTTAAGACTATTAACGTACTATTACATCAATAGTTATACAGTATTAGAAATGCATAACAAATACATACCTTGTTTAAAGAATTAATTTCTATTTCTGCTTCATTTGTTTCTTTCTTTAACTGAGATGAATTTTTCATAAAATTGTTGGCATGTTTAAGAATATCTTCTGTTTTAAATCTCAAATTAACTCTTTTTCATGCTAAGGAACTATGTTGTACAAGTAAATTTTACATTAATAATACAAGTACTATATCAGAAATAACTGATGTTACATAATTTATATACATGTTCCTTATAAGCAATAGACATTAATAACAGTATCCTACATTGTTATCAGCTAATAAAATTTCCTAAATTACTATAATCCATTTAGGAGAATTTAAAAATGAATGGAATAATAAAGAATAATACCAGAGAAAATTTATCAGAACTTTGCTATCCTGCCTTAAAAATGAGATTTATATGCTAGAACACAAAATTTAAAATGAACATAATTCATAAGGCTATGTTATTACCAAAAGTATCAACTTTAAATTTTAGATATAGATCTTTAAATCTTAATATTTAATTCTTCATACCTCCATCTACCACTTCTTGTCATTAAATTTTAATCTCAACTCACATGCAACTCCAAAACTTTGGCAATACCATCAGCCATCTATCTACCTCTGGCCCTTCCCACTGAGCCAGTGGTGACAAATCTATAAGGCACACAAAGCCCTCTCTGTCAGCACACAAGCCAAATTGCCCCAGCAGCCGAGCACTGAAACAGTTGTTTTTCTAAACTAAAACCTCTGTATTCAGGCTTAATTGCAGTGTTGGCATTTCACTAAAAATAACTGGGTTTTGGGTTGCAGTTTGAGCACTCGGTCTCTAAAAGGTTCACCATCACTGTGCTAAGAATTAATGTACAGATGAGCAGCACGTGAGCAACTAAAGACAGAACAGGCTAAAACCAAAGTGGGAAAAGACAAGCAGAAGAGAAGTTATAAAATGGTTTAAGATAAAGCACACAGGAAGCAAGGTAGAATGCAGGAATAAAGACTTAGTGCAGGGCCAGAGATTTAGCTCAGCAGCGCTGAGCCTGACTCACTAGTTCAAACTCCTGAGTTGATCCCCTGTGGGGTGGGTGGGAGGAGGGGGAGAGAAAATTATGGAAAAATTTTAGAGCTTTCACTGATACAAACACTCCACTCCAGCACGCGTGCTATAGGTTTACCACTACTGATTATAGCATTACAGTGGTACTGTGTTAGATTCCTTATTCACATCTGTCTCTCCTACTAAAATATGAATTCCTTGCAAAGAACTGTAACTTTATCTATTTTGCCTGGTACAAGGTAAGTACCCAATGAATTTCTAAACATTAATGAATAACCATGACTCACTCCATTACCACTTTCTAGACTAATGAACAATTACCAGTTAATTTATTTCAAACTTTGTTAAGACAGAGCAAGATGACTTTTTCATTGGCTTGGCTGCTAAGATGTGCTGCTTTAAAGTCAGATGTGAATACCATTTTGTTCTTACTCAAACTGTTTGCTTATGATCATGTGGGCATACTGAATATACCAAAACAAGTCCCAGAACATTTTTAAAGTGTCCTTTAGAAGGCCACATTAAACACAACGACAAATCCATGACATCTTCATCAGGAAAAGACAATAAAAATTAAAATGACGAAACTATATTTATCTAAAATTGTAGTCAGCAATACTTTTGTGGATACATGTATAATGTCCAGGTAGAAAGTGATGGAAAGGGTGCAGGCACTGAAAAACAAAGGCACCATTGAGATTATTATATTTATTTCATTACAAGGATACCATAATTAAAGCAATATATAACAAAAATATTAGTACCTTGAAATTCCTTAAGGATACTTTCATTTGTTTTCAGTTGCTCAGTACATGCCAACGCTCTGTTTTTAATTTCTTCATATTCTCTTTTCTTCTCATAATAGTCACGTGAAAGGGGTATTTCTGAGTATTTTAGTTGGTATTGCTTTAAAACATCTTTATACTGATTTATATAACTATAATACATTTTTCTGTTGAAAGAAATTAGAATAGATCTAAAAATGTAGTATCACTTGTTGTTAAAGTCTGCTAAATTTAACATAAAAGGCAAGTCAAATATCTACTTATTTCTACTTCTCTCAATATAGTCAGCCCTTCAAACTTTCCTTAACTCCATTACACTGCTCAAATAAGTTCTTTTGTTTTCATTGCCTGTATTACTTCCTAATCCTGTTCAATTTAGCTTTCACTCACCCACTATTCCTTCAAAGATCATCAGCAATCTAAAAATGTATCCAAGTGAATGATTAAAATCTATTTTTCATACCCATTCTAACTGATACTGCAGAATCTATTTCTTCTGGTCACTTACACCTTTCAAAAATTCTCCTTTGGTCCTGAATCTCTCCACTGTCCTCAGTTCAACTACCTTTACAACCATGCCTTTTTAATCTCTTTCAATTTCGGTAGCTAAGACGATTATATGAAGTAATATCCTATATGTTAGAATTGGGGATTCTAATCATTCATGTATATTCCACAACTATATTTATGAAGAAAATTTTAGCATAGTTTGAAGGAATGCCTTCAGAATAACTCAAGTAGTAGAGGATGACCAACTATTTGGGCACAAATCTTGAGTGAAACATTCTTCAAAATTAAAAAAAAAAAACTAACCCTTCTCTTTTATTTGAACCAAAATTCACTGACAAAAGGAGTTAGTTACTACAGTCTACGAGCCAAATTTATTTTGCCATCTGTTACTGTATGGTATATAATCTAAGAATGGTTTTTACATCTTTAAATGACTGAAAAAATTCAAAAGAAGAATATTCCAATATGCATTAAAATTATATGAAATTCAAACTTCAGTGTCCATAAATAAAATTTTGCTGGTTCATGGCTCCTTTATTTACATATTACCTAAAAGTGCCTTATGCCATAACAGCAGTGTTGAATAATTATGACAGACCACGTGGTCAATAAAGCCTCCAATTTTACTATCTGGTTCTGCACCAAAAAAAAAAAAATGCCAACTCTGATTCAAAACACTGAAAATATTTAACCTAGTTATTTATAGAAAAATATATTTTAAATCTTTTTACCCAGTTCTTACAGTTTTAAGAAATAGTATTCACAGTAAGCCCTTTGAAAACATAGTTTTCACTATATTATAGAAAACACTATATTCCTCAAGATTTTATTTCTTGGATCAAGATGTATTACATGGGGGAATTTCTTTTAAATTGTTGTCAAGATTATTTACCTTAGCAGATGAAAAAAGAATAGTAAGTACTGATAAACCCCTGGTTTAATCAGAAAAAAAAACAGTGTGAATCTTAAGAGTGGTCTAATTTCTTAATATTACTAAACTCTGTCCCCTTTAGCAAAGCAAAGCGCTTTAATCCAAAATAAACTCCTATTCTTCTAAATGTTCATTTTGTAACCAGGACCCCCCCCCATATTTATTCTGCAATAAGTTGAAAAAAATGGTACAGGGAGTAGGAAAAGAGGTCTATGAAAAGCAGACCTGGGTCCCCAAATTCAGTGGAGACTGTCATACCACGTCTATCCTGCTTATATTATATATTTGTGCCTACTCTTCTAACATGCTCCATGTAGGAAACTTACCTGGGCACAGCATAGATAAGTAACAACTCAAGAAGTTCACTATTATTATCTTATCTGTTGCTAGCAATACTAATCTTCATGAATGCCTGGGACAGGGACAGGAATGGAAGATCACAAGTAATCAGCTGGTGCGTCTACTTCCTTCATTACCCCTTATGCCAACAAATGAATTATTTTCTTTTTAGAAATGTCTGGTATTGAGTCATCACTTCAATTCATCTAAGTGACTGCTTTTAGCAAGAAACAGCTGTTTCACTTCAATGCCTCTGGTTAGTTCAGAGAAGTCATCTATTACAAACACTGTCACAGAGGTACATATTTGGACTGGTTTTCTTTCACCTCTTACAGAATAAATTTTAAGAATTTAACATTTTAAAATAGCCATGGTTTACACTTAGAAATATCATAAGCAGTTATATAGTTTGTCCTTTGTGGGGAAGGTCACTGAAGCTACAAACTACCAGACTCCCCATTTCCCCTTTAGGATGCCCCATGGGAAAAAACTGAAGTCTCAGGAAACTCTTCTACCTATCCTCAGCAACTGAGCTGTTTTCTAAATGAATAGTCTGGATCCCAATCTGGTCACATTTCTACAATGCTTCAACTAAAAAGGAATTTCAAAGCTTAGACTGTACCTATGTCTAACAACTGCAGGACCACAAAAGATGAATTTTGAACTTGAGCAAGGCTTCCTAAATTATCTCTACTTTCCTGCAGCCTTGATTTTTACATTTGGTGGGTTTTAAAAAATATAATGGAATTATTTATACAAATCATCTCAAATTCTTTAGGGGATGACACAAAATGTATAAATGACATCCTACCAGTCTCCTTTACCCTTCTAACTTCTGTCTGCTCTTTACATGATGGTGTGCTTCGCCTTTTTTCTCTTTATGCTCCATTTCCCTAGAAAATCTCATCTATTCCCATGACATTTATTAAGAACAATCTTTAACTTCAGTCCCTACCTTTTCTTAAGACTCAACTTTGTCAAAAAGGATTGGAGATATTTTGTGCCTTTAAAATTAAAATATAAAAATATACAACTGCTCTCATCCAATTATGTTTAATTTCAACCTTCTATTAGGTGATGTTTTGTTGTTGTTGTTGTTTTGTTTATTTGTTTTGGGGGGTTTTTTTGTTGTTTTTTGAGACAAGGTCTCACTATGTAGTTGAGACTGACCTGGCTCTATGTAGCCCAGGCTGATCTCCAACTCACAGCGATCCTCCTGCCTCAGCCTCCTGAGTGCTGGGATTACAGGCATGAGCCACTACGCCCAGCTAGGTGATGTTTTAATGCTATACGTCATCTTCAAAGTATCTCATCTTATTTCATTATTTTCACTAATTACACTTACTCTCTAAGACAATGTGATTATATAAATAAACCCACAAAAGCATCAGTATTTTTTTCATTAGAATAAACTCCACTGGTACAATCAGAAGTCTGACAACTGAAATTTGTTATAATTTTTTCATAAGCTAGTTCTGTTGATAATTATTTAGATGTTTGCTTGTAACAGCTCAGTCAAAATTGCTGCTGAGAAATAAAACATATCCAGGGTTCAAGATTTATAACAAAATACCTCCAATTACACAAAGAGTCTAAATTATTTACTTAAAATACAAATTTTCTACATTTTTAAGTAATATTCTTTGAGACAGTGTCTTGCTCTGTAGTTTAGGCTGTCCTTGAGCTCACCATGTAGCCCAGGCTGGCCTTGAACTCAAGGCAATCCTCCTGCCTCAGCCTCCTGAGTGCTGGAATTACACATGTGTGCTACCACACCTAGCTTTAAGTAAAATTTTTAGTCTATTTTAGTAATACTAACTTACAAAATGCTTATTCTATATATAGAATGTAGAAGAATGCTTATATAGAAAATATAGAAGAATGCTTAAATCGATATATATATATATATATATATATATATACTGTACTTGTCTTTTTCAATAGTTTCTTGATAAATAGTAAGTTGGCCCTGTATATAATCTTCATGTTTATGAAAAACATCATATGTTGGCTTCCAGCTGTAGAAAAAATTATAGTCATATTTAGAATCTCAGAAGGATAAATAGAAATAATATTTAGACATTAACATTTAAAAAGAAATTAATATCTCTTCCCAGAGAAAACAAATCTACAACATTTCCTATCATCACCACTATCATCATTCATTTACTTATACACTCAAATATTAATATTCATTAATGCACACAAATTTTTCAGACATGAATAGGAAAGAGCAAACACAGTATGGCTAGATTGTGTATTGCCATAGCATTTCTATTACACTCTCCAATAATCCAACATCAGAACTTCTTTCTCATCATATTCTAAGATCTTGACTAAGAACTTTGTTTGGAATAGGCATTGAGAAGCTAGGATAAAGGCTAAAGAGAAGCTTTACTTTCTTCCGACGTGTTGGTCGTTACACTTTCCTGAGCTACAAAGAAAAACTTGGCCATAGTGAATTATATAAAATAAATATTTGTCCTTTTTTTTTTCAAGGCAGGGTCTCACTATGTAGTTCAGCACGGCCTTGAACTCATTATATAACCCAGGCTGGCCTCAAGTTCACAGAGATACTCCTACCTCAGCCTCCTGAGTTCTAGGATTATAGGCATTCACCACCATGCCTAGGATAACATTCATTTTACTCATTTTTGTTTTATTATATATGTTGAGAAAAATTACCAACTGGAAAAATCTAAAATTACTTATATTACTCTAAATATTGTTTGAATGTTTCCTCTTTTTTCTAATATTCATCCAGAGTCTAAGAGTAAACATGCCCATTTTGGAAGCACAGAAAAATATATACTGTATAAGAAAATAACTATGACTCACATTCTCAATATTAAATAACTACTATTACTGTTTTCAGATTTTACTATATTTATAAATTTAATGTCACTGAAATCACATCTACATATGACTTACCCTCCTTTATCATTTACTGAACAAAATTTGTACTTTAAAATTTGTCTGTACTTATGGCTACGTCTTTAAAAATTCTCCAAAATGGAATAGGAAAGTCAAAGATTATATACACGTGTATTCTGAACATTTAAAAGTTCCATAAGAAGTAAATGTCTGCTGAGATTATACTTTTACAGTAATGTACATTTTGATGTACATTCATCTAGTATTTTTCTAATTAGATATATAATTATGAATCAAGTCCATGTTTTATTATCCACTTTGCCCAATTTGTAGTACTGTGTACTGTTAGCACCTTTCCATGTCAAACATACACCTATACCATTATTTTATTGGCTGCCTAGTGTTCAATCGTATACCAAAATCCATTTAGCCAATCCCCTCAATACTGAACATTAGACTTCCAATGTTTTCCTATAATAAAAAGGGATGAAACAGAACTGTTCAAATTCAAAAGCAGGAGAACAAACTGATTTTAAAACGGGCAAATGAATAGAGGCCAGCCCTGATACCATCAGCAAGTGAATGTAGATCTCAGCAAGAAGCCTGAGGGTCCAGAGCAGCATAGTTTCAGGCAGGTCATAGCCAGGGCCACACCCTGACTCCAGCAGTTTTGACCCACAGGCCCAGCCAAAGGCCCACCTGGAAAGGAGCTGCACAAGTGCACAGGAAACAGCCAGCAGCCTGCCGAGATACCATTGGCAAGTGCATACAGACCCCAGCCAGAAGCTCACTCAGACACCAGTGACTGGGGTGCACAGCACCCAGCCAAAGGCCCTCCCAGACAACAGCTATACAGGGGTGCAAGCCACAGCCAGAGGCACACTCAGATACCGTCCTGAGCACAGGATCCGCCCAGAATTCCACCAGGGCAACAGGGCAGGACATGGATCCAGAAGGCCACCATTCTGAACCCAGGAATTGGTGCAGGGGCAAGCAGCAGAGAGAAGGCCTCTCAGTGACCTGCTGAGAATTGAAGACCACTGAGGGGGCAAAAAGCCACCTCAACAAAGGCGAATCAGGATACATCCGTTGAAATGAAAAGACATGTAAACAAGTCTTAAAACCAGATTTCCAGGTCACCTAAGGCAAACTGCAAAGGCAAAGAAAAGGGAATAATCTGATGCTCAATCACCTGGACTCCCTGAGCTGGCAATGAGAGAGGATCTCAAAAAATTTAAATCTAAAATAATTTATCAGATAACAACAGAGATTGTGCCCATAGTGTAAGACATGATTAATAAATCTAGAGCAGACACAGATAAAAAAAATAGAGATCTGAGGAACATGAAGGAATCCTAACATAACTAACAAATGAAATCCATAAAAGAGATGCAAATGAATTTCCAGATTATAAACTCCAGTGAAAGTTTATGCAGCAGAATAAGCCAAAGTAAGGACAAAATTTCAGATAAAGAAGACAGGATTGAGATTAGTGACCAAAAAAATAAACAAAATTAAGTTGTAAGGGACTACAAGAAATCAATCCAGCAGCTGCTAGTTGAAGTAAAGAAGAATAACATCATTGATTGGAGTCATGAAAAAACAGGAGAGAGTACAAATGATATAAAAACTGTTAACAAAAGTAATGGCAGAAAACTTCCCAAGCAAGGGAAAACAACTTGACATACAGATAAGTGAGGCATATAGGAGTCCAACTAGCCATGATCAAAAAAATCTACACCTAGGAATATAATAGTTAATATTCCAGGAACCTAACAGAAAGAAGAACAAAATTCTATAAGCAGTTAGAGAAAAGAAACAAATCACATACAAAGGAAAGCCCATCACAATCATAGCAGATTTCTCAAGACAAACCCTCAAATCAAGAGCCTGGAGTAATGTATTTCAAGCCCTAAAGGAACAAAAACTCCAACTCAGATTGATGTACCCTGCAAAACTATCTTTCAGAATGATGGAAAAATAAGATAATTTTATTACAAAGAGCACCTGAGGAACTTCATGAATACCAAACTAGCACTCCAAAAAATTTTAAACACTATCCTAGGAAAAGACATTGGGTGTCATAACTCCAGAAAGCCCAGCAGAATGAATCCATCAGGCAAGACCAAAAATTAAATGCAAAGGGTGAGAATCCAATAAAATATAAGAAGAATGATAGCACTTTGAAAAAAGAGATTGAAGAGGTTATCAGAAAGTGGAAAGACATCCCTTGCTCCTGTGTAGGAAGAATCAACATTGAGAAAATGGCCATACTTCCAAAACTGCTATACAGATTCAGTACAACCCCAATTGAAATTCCAGCATCATACTTCACAGACCTTGAGAAAACAATCCAAAAATTCATCTGGAACAAGAAGAATTCTAGAATAGCAAAAGCAATTCTAGGCAACAGAGACGTGACAGGGGGTATCACAGTCCCTAACTTGAAACTATACTACAAAGCTACTGTGATTTTAAAGAAACAGCATGGTACTGGCAAAGAAACAGACCCGAGGATCAGTGGAACAGAGTAGGAGATGCAGAAAAAACTACAGACACACTCAGCCACCTCACCTTTGACACAGAAGCCAAGCAGCCTTACTGGAGGAAAGATAGCCTGTTTAATGAATGGTGCTGGAAAAACTGAGCTTCACCTTGCCAAAGATTAAAACTAGACATATACCTCGCACCATGCATTAAACTAAAATCTAAATGTATCAAAGATCTAAATATTAAAACAGAAACACTAAACCAGCTGGAAAAGAGGTTAGGTAAAACTCTTGAAGACATTGGCACAGGAAAAGATTTCATGAACAAAACCTCAGTTGCATGTGAGCTAGCACAAATAATCAACAAGTGGGATATCTTCTCATTAAAAAGCTTCTGCACTGCAAGAGAAACCACCAACAGCATAAAGAGACAATCCACAATGTGGCAAAAAAAATTTTTTACCAGCTGTTCCTCAGAGAAAGGTCTACTATCTAGAATATAAAAAGAACTTAAAAAAATTAGACTTCTCAAATTTAAAGACCCAATCTAAAAATGGGCATCTGAAATGAATAGACATTTCTCAGACAAAGAAGCAAAAGCAACAAATAAAATATGAAAACTGTTCAACATTAGTGGTCATTCGAGGGATGCAACAGAAAACAAGGCCGAGATTCCACCTCACCTCGGAAAGAATAGCTGCTATCAAGAAATCAACCAATGACAAATGCTGGTGTGGCTGTGGAGAAAAGGAACAGTGTATGTTGGAGTGTAGACTGGTCAACCATTGTGGAAATCAGCATGGAGATACCTCACAGATCTAGGATTAGAAGTTCCATTTGACCCCACTATTCCCCTGCTGGGTATCATCTCAAAAGAATTAAAAGAATAATACCACGTGACATATGTGCACCCATGTTTACAGCAGCACAGTTAGTAATAGCTAAAACTTGAAAACAGCCCAATTCATCATGAAGTGGAGACTGGATAAAGATGTGATTATTTTAATGGAGTACTACTCGGCCATAAAAAATGAGAAACTAGAGACATTTTTAGCTAAATGGATGCACATTGAGGATATACTCTTAATTGAAATAAATAGGATACACATGTGTAAATACTGAATAGTTTCTCCAGTGTGACAAATTCAAAGTATAATGATTAAAATGTATAACAGATGATGTGAAACGGGAGGAAAAGGTGCAAAGGGGAAGGGAAAGGGGAAGAATGGAAAGGAAAGAAGGGAATGGAAGTAATATGAGAAAATGAAAAAACAGAAACAAAGTCTTTGTAAATAGAGAGGGATGGAGAGTTTAAAGGGAGGATAGGGCAATGAGGAATAAGTAAGAATCTTTTTTCGGGGGGGTACAGGGATTGAACTCAGGTCCTCACACTTACAAGACAGGCAGTAGAACCACTGAGCTAAATCCCCAGACCCAAGAATCTTGATATATTCTGTAAAGGCACAAATCTCCAATAATTAATGTCACATTATCGTGTACCTAAAATGTATCAATAAAATTAATTTTTAAAAAATAATAAATAAAAATAAAAGTGGGCAAACAAGGACTGGGGATATAGTTCAGCAGCACAGTGCCTGACTGGCAAGTGTGACGTCCTGAGTTCCACCCCTGGTACCAAAATAAATAAATAAATAAAATTTAAAATGGAACAAAAGACCTAAATATGCATTTCGCAAAAGTGTTTTGTCTTGAAATTTTTTAGATTGAAGCCTGATGTGGCAGGACACACCTGTAACCCTAGCACTCTGAGAGGCTGAGGTAAGAGGACCAAACCGCAAAGTTCGAGCCCAACTTGAGCAATGGAGCAGCTTAGTGAAACCCTGTCTCAAAATAAAAAATAAGAAAAGATTGAGGATACAGCTCAGTTAAAAACAAGGCCATGGGTCAATTCCCAGGACTGCTAAAAAAAAAAAAAAACTAATTATTTAAAAAATATCTATTAAGAATTGAAAAGCTGACCTTACACTACATTTAAACACTCTGTATTCAGACTAGATCTGAACTGGTAAAATCTTATGGCCCTTACTTTTTTTTTCTCTCTTGAACCTCCTGTGATCCCTTTCAACAATGGGGTGTATCCAGGTGATCAAGGACTTATTTTGTTAATATGAATACCATCTCGGAGCTGAGGACAGCTCTGCAGTTCAGGATATGCTTAGCAAGTGCAATAGTGCTATCAACTACATACTCAGAAACCTTGAATAAAGGAATCAAATGACAATTTCTGGGAGTTTATTTCTTTCAAATACTCACTTACTACAGCTGTCTTTGATCTTCTCACTATGTTTACAGTAATGAGTAATGTCCTCATCTGTTTTACTTATACTTTCATGTATCTTACAAATTGTTTCTTTTCTTTCTTTAATATCTTCAAGGCATTCTGAAAAGAGGACATATTTTTTTGCTTAAAGTAGAAATCATAATTTCAAAATAAACAAATATAGCAGAAAAAGAAAAGGTGTATGACAACTTATGTGTCCCTCCGAGAAAGACAGCCAGAGAACGGAAAGTAAGAGAGGCTTGAGATGGAAAAGCACGTTATACTAAAAAGCAGAGAACCACAGCCAGTTCTGATCCAAGACCCACATATGAACAATTTATGCTTCAGGTTGAAGAAAAATAAACGTCTCTCATCTCTGACAGGGAGGGGTGTTCTAGGTGATATTTAAGGTCAATCTATCATATTCATCTATGCATTCATGCTAACATTTATTCAATAATGCTGCGAACATAGGCTATAATATCAATTCCATGTCAATTAATGATTAACTATATCTTCAATCGTTAGTAGTAGAGATACTACTTCTTTGAGATACAACTTAGAGATACAACTTCTTTGAGAAGTTTAATTTCATAATTTTCTTTGCCTACAGATGATAAAACTTTATCTTTTCAAAACAGTTCTAAAGGCAACAGTTAACAGTTAAAAGTAAGTTAACAACTAACTTGCAGTTAAAAATAAAGTTAACAGTTCTAGTTTTATAATTAAAATGTTTTAAGGACTCAAAATATAATAATTAGCCTTGCCTCACTCACAGTATTGTTTTTCAGAATTATTATTCCTGAAATTGTGACATCTATCATTCTTGATCCCTGATCTTTGGTACTTCTATAAAGAATCTATTTTCACTCAAATATTTTATATAAACTTGTTATTTGAGAAAATAGGTTTTTTATTGCATTTAAGGGGTCAGTTTGGCTTAAAGCAAAACAATTCACAAAATAATTAAGTGCTGAGTGTGCAAATCTATTGTTTGAAATAGCTAATAACCATTTTGCCTAACGTAAATAACTCAGTATTAATTACTAGAGAAAACTGCCACAAAGGTATATTGCCAATTGTAAGCAGCCCTAAAGAGAGCAATTTCATATTATGCTATATGCCATTAAAATATTAAGACTAAAGTAACCGTATCATGTAAAACTTACTATTAATTCTTTGAACCACATCTTCTTTAGTGCTTACGTCTTGCTGATACTGGAAAACTGAAACGAATTTTTCGTGAGTTTACTTCACTGTTAAAACGTCAGGTGAAAATGCAGTTACCTATTCCTTTCATTTTATACCTACCAAATTCTAACGAAAGCCTGTCCAACTTAGCGAACAGGTTGTCGCTCATCTTGGAGCCTACGTCTAAAATAACAAAAAGTGCGATTTTCTGTCTTTC